CGGCTCGGCTGCTACTGTACCCTTGGTCGTGGACGATGGTGTACATATTTACGCAATCTTTAATCGCGCTGGCTAAGAATAACCTGTATATATACAATAAATTAACATATTTTCCGTGTAAGACGTGGTGGCGCAGAGGGACAAAACTCAGCGTGTGCGTGAGTTCGGTCCCGGAATGCGTGCAAACGAATTTGAATTTTTCTTTTTGCCGAAATAGTTTTTTTTTCTCGTTTATTTACCTGTCGCATAGTTAGCTATATGCATTGGGAAGATGAATTTAGATGCATTTCGATGATTTTCGGAAAATTTAATGTAATTTTGGTGGTTTTCTGCTCATGAAACATTCTAGAACCAGTCTCCGAAATGCGCGCATTTTTTGAACGAACAGTATACTATAGTACAGCCCGGCTGGCAGCCGAGCAATCGGAGACAAAAGTTCCGGCTGTCAGCCGGCGTCAAACGCGCTAATCGGGTGCAAACGCAATACTCTTTATTATAAATAAGCATCTCGTTGCCAGGTAACGGCAAATTTAAATGGCCACATGTCTTTTTGACGTATGTGATTTATTGGTGTGGCATGTAGGTCAAAAGCCATTGGTCAGTATACCAAGTGTATCCAAAAAATTATATTGCGAACCATCAGTCAAAAGGAGAAATTGTATATGCTTCCGTGTTGCATATAAAATATTGTTTTGCGATTTAGCGGGAAGTTCATAAATTCGCAATCATATTTCGACATATTGTCAGCTACTCTACTAGTAAACTACAAATTATACCAACCATAGTGTGCAAATAAGTATACGTACTTATATTTTCAAGTAATATATCGTGTTAGAATGGGAAAGTCAGACAACTGTACTGTAGAATTGCAGAAAAGAAGAAAAATGAGAAATGATCGAAAGAAACGTCGACGCAAACAGCGCGCCATTATGAAGCGCGCAGTCGCGTCCAAAGCTGTGGCAGAAAAAATCGCAGAAAGCGTTCGCAAACAAAAGCTGATCGCGGAAAATTACTGCGCGAAATGGAGGGAAATATGCAAACAATCAAAATATCGTAGGCAGGTAACTGAACAAATAATTGTACATTTTAATTTGATATAGTGTAGCTATATAAATTATAAGCTATATGCCTAATAATCTTGAATGAACAAGTTAGCACAGAAACGGACCAGTTGAAAAATAATTTATCACGCACGGTTCATACACAAGTCACTCATATATTAAAATTAGTACTATGAGCAGGTAATCAAAATTTTCGCCAGTACCCCCCCCCCCCCCCCCCCCCCCCCCCC